GTTTCCCCCATTCCTTATCACTTTCCCTCCTTAATCTTATCACTTTTTTAACACCATCATTCAACCCAATTCTCAATTCTCACTCACCTTGAACTCTTATACCTAATTTCTTTATTTCAACTGATGTTTGACCTTGTTTTTCAAATATTTTATTCCCTTTAATTTTGTTAATAATAAATAGTTGGCTCACTGTATTCATCCAATATTTTATATGTATAACTCTGTTCAATTTCTAAATATAATAATAAATTTAAGACAAGAGATTTTATAATTTTTTATAAAGATGGTAATCCATTTTTTGAGGGAATGAGCAAGTAATGTAATTAGTTCAAACAGTAAAATAAAAGTAAAAATTTAAAAAAATGCTTATTAAAAGGCAAATATACTTTCGAATTTTAACAGTTTTAGTTCTAATCGAGTTCGGATCTAATCGATTTCGTGTTTTATTGGTTTCGGGTATTATCGATTTCGGATATAATCAGTTTTGGGTTTCATCGGTTCGGATATGATCGGTTTCAAATTTAATTGATATTGGATTTAAATTGGATATGAATTATTTAGTTCGGTTTTGGTTCGACTCAGATCATTTCAGATTTTTGGTTATAGACGGGATCATCATTTTCTGGATCATTTTGATTCAATTTCGGATAATTCGGTTAGGTAATTCGTTCCGGTTATGTTTTGTTAGGTCTATCTCTAACCGTTGTGAGTCCTTATATGGTATAGCTGGCTATATCAAAAGTATTGTATAGTTGGGTAGTACTCATTTTGGAGTAAAGTAATACTCATTTTTGCACAAAGCATATGTGTTCATTTTGAAGTAAAATAGTATTAATTTTGAAATAACGTGGTGTCCATTTTGAATCAACGTAGGGCTCATTCCGAAACAACATAGTGTTCATTTTCACATATTTGTTCATTACAATTATAATATTGATTCAAAAATAACATAGTGTTCATTCTCAAACAACGTGGTGTTCATTTTGAAGCAAAAGAGTCATCATTCTAAAGCAACTTATTATAAAAAAAATAGGAGTTCTTGTAACGCCACGGAAACTGGTCTAGAAGAATTAACGGCGTAAATCACTGATTTTGACTGTGTGGGCCCCCGATGGCCTAAAAAAATAAAAATATTAGGAAACATATTTCAATTACGTATTTGAATTCCATTTATTTTCCAAGTTCAAAAATGTGATCGGTTTCAAAATCGGACTCCGTTTGAAAAATAACCCAAAATTCAAACAGATAAACTATTTCTTTCGGAACAAAAATTTTATCCCAAAACCACATTCACTTCCCCAAATAATCTCCAGGATTCCTCAATCTATCCCAACAATATTCTCAACCCATCACCCTTATCAAACACAACATTTTTTCCCAACCCACTCAACACACACCCACCTTCCTCTCATCATATTTGGCTCTTTGCTTGGTGGGGTGTGTTTGATTTAATCCAAGGCATCCCTGCATGTTCTTCAATAAAGGAGACCCAATATTCTCCATTCATTCACTTCCATACTTAGAAAAAAAATACATGCAACTCTTTCTTCTCCAAGCTCCTTCATCCACCATTAATAAAGGAAGTTTGAAGAGCTAGCACTAGGTAAGTGAGTATACTCCACCCCTATCGTTATTATACTCATTTTAATGCTCTTCTCACGCCATACACCTCTGCGGTATCAAGGTTCGAAGAGAAGACCTCAAGACAAGGAAAACTAGAAGTAGATAGTGATGTCCATTCGTTGACCGTACGTGAGGTGTTAAGATCTTTGTGTTCCCCTACGAACTCTAAGGTCTGTACCCCAGACTTGTTTCGAAGTTAGATTCCTTAGAATCATTCATAATACATGATTTGATGTACCTACATGTAATTTTATGTAAGTCATACTCATAGTCTCGATAAAACGCTCAACTTGATATCCATGAATCGTCGATGCTAGAGAATGCCCGGACTTGTGCCAAAAAGACCTCAAAATGTTCCTACACAACTTAGAGATTAAAACTAGAGAGAGAGAGAGTGTGTGTGTGTGTATATATATATATATTCAATATATACACTTTTGGAGCCATCCTGGAGCTTAAAACGAACCCAAAAACACACAAGAGCCGTCAGGGGATCGCTCCCCGGAGTTGGATTGATCACTCGACAATGGAAATGAACCCCAGAATCCATTTTTGAGGTTCGGGGGATCGATCCAAGCCTCTGGATCGATCCTCTTGAGTAAATTTTGTTAAAATGCGTATTTTANGATTTGAATCGTTTTTTGATATCATATGGCTGATAAATCTTTGGTATTTGTTTGATTTATTTATAACCTTATTTTTAACTTCAAAAACACTAAAAATGAATATTTTTTACTAAAAGAACTCTAATACCGAAATTGATTAGGTCAATTCATATTTTCTATATATGTGCTACTAACCAAATGATATTATTGGACGGGTTGGACTAGAAGAATTATAGAACTATATTATGTGGTTTAAACTTAAGTTCCTCACATGATCTAATCCATGAACATGATTAAATGATGTATAATGATTAAAAGGGATATTTTGGATGATATTATGTTATGGACCTTATGGTAAAACTTTATATGCTACAATCCGTAAATGTGATGATTTTGATGGTGACACTAATAAGCAAAAAGGTATTTTTGGATAGGTTAAATCTAGGTTATTTTTAGTGGTAAATAGTATGAATTTGGGTGTATAGATGTGGGCGATATTAGGAGTTGAGTATGTACTAACATAAGGTCCTAGAATCGGCCAGGCACCCGGGGATCACTCAACACGTGCGTTCGAAACTAGAAGAGTATTTATACCCAGACTGAGAAAGGCCACAGAACAAATTCTGAACCTGAATAGAAGGGCGCTCGGACCCAGACTCAGACAGGGGAAGTCTTATCGAGTCTACCTCTACGGAGAACAACTCAGTATGGGGTGAGGATAAAACATAAATAATTGAAAATAAGGGATGTCACTATTATCGTATAGTGATTGGTTGAATGAAGGATGTTGCTTACTTTATGTTATGGATAAATTTATATTAGAAATACTCTCTCGATGAAATGATGGAACATTAATGATTTGTCAAATCTATAAATAAAGTATATTTGGCAATAATACCCTTTGTTTTTAATAAGTACTTTGGATACGTATTATTATACGAAGAGATGCTCTTACACCTTGTCATAAAATGAAGAATGTCAGGATTTTATAATTAAAGGTTTCACAGAAAAATAAATAAAGTGGATTTTCTTAAATAAAAAGGTTTAAAAAGAATATTGATTCTCGTATATATGTGAATGTGTTTTATGAATTATTCTATGAAATCTACGTTGTGGTACCACTCAATGGTTTCGTTGAGCACACAGTTGTCTTTGTTGTGTGACTATGCGTAGGTAATAAGCTATAGCATCCATCCGGAAGATGCTGAGGCGGGAGAGTTGGCAGAAGAATGCGGGAACTGTTTTTAATAATTTAAAGTATTTTTGGAGTTGAACCCATATGTGTAAATATGTTGAATCTTATTTAACTTCCGCAATGATTAAATTAAATTACTCCAAAAATTATTTTATCATATTTTGATAAAACTATGTTTTAAATGTTTCTAAATTTATATTAGTATAACTTATTAAAAGGTTATTGAATGTTACTTTACCAAATTAATAGCGCTCTAGTCCGCAAACCCACATGAACCGGGTTATGCGAATCGGGGTGTTACAACTTGGTATCGGAGCCCAAGGTTTTAAGAACGGTGTTTGGACCAAAGTGATTTAAGGCCCGCATTCGCGCTCTCCACGTCCTCTGCAATCCGGAAGGTAACTTGAAATTTTTTTTATAATATCCTTAACTATTTATATTTGAATTAAGCAAATATTATTTGTAGTACCAAAATACGGTGAACTTAGGGGTGTAAACGGATATCAATCGGATCGGATGTGTCATTACCAAATCTGTATCCGTTTATTTTTGTTGGATATCGAATTCGGATACGGATCTTGATGGATATTGAAAATCAAAACTGTATCCGCATCCGTTGGATATCGGATATATTTGTATCCATTTCCAATTTGTAAACTCAAATTAAACAATACTTAAATTTTAAAATATATTAGAGTCAAACTATTATTAAATCAACTATAATTTGTTATGAGATAATTATTTTCTTTGTTTTCATAATTTATGATATTCTTTTATAACTTCATATGATAAAAAGATATATACAACACACATATACACATATTTTTATATGTTGCATATATTTTTATGTGTCTACACATTTATTTTGTGTATAATAATAATTTATACTTTGAAATATCAATAGAGAAACAAAATATGAACATAAAAAAATTAGGAAAAACTATATATAACGGATCGGATATTTGGATAAACGGTTATTTAAACGGATGCATATTTGGATCAGATTTTAAACGGATCGGATATACAATTACCAAATCCGAATCCGTTTAGTAATCGGATATCCTTAATCGGATACGGATAATATCCGTTTAAAACGGATGCAGATATTTCCTCTTTAAACGGATACGGATGCAGACAGTAATTGGATTTTTGGCTATCCATTGACAGCCCTAGGTGAACTACCCTGTACGTTAAGAAAACTTAACGAGTCAACTATTAGTGGAAGGAAGCGATGACGGAATCAATGATGATTACAAACGTCACTATTAAATCTCAAACAAACAGTAGATACGATAAGTAATCAGTCATGTCAAAATCCCTTAAGGGGGAGAGACGTCGCACATCTCAAACCTATTATAGATGCTCGGACTAAAACATGAGAATTAAGTGAGACAATAATCTTACCTTCGACAAGATCGGAGAAAACATAGTAATTTGAAAAGAAATAAGATTTATTGGAATAAAGTACTTATTGACATGATATATTTTGACGTTGGAGATAAATATTTTTCTAATTTGCACTGGCCATGCAACTTAGAACAATATATATAACCAACTCATGATGATGAGCAATGTTGTAGTAATACAAACACAACTGAATTACATGAGAAGAGAAGGATTACCGGTGCAACTCTAACTTCCAACCTGCTCCACTCCCAATAAAGTGAAATTTTAGAGAAGTTTCCGAGGCATTGGAGAAAGTGAGTGATGGCGTCTTCATTTGCCACACAGGTGCCGCTGCCATTTCCACACCACAAGTTTAGCCGCAGTAAAGCCTTGCTATCCGGCCGTGGAATAGGCGTCCAGCTGCCGAAGAGATGCTACAGCCATCAGAGAGCGGCGAAGCCCGGGTACAGGCCGCTGAGGGTCAGAAGCGAGAAGGTGGTGGGCATAGATTTGGGGACGACGAACTCTGCTGTTGCTGTGATGGAAGGCGGAAAGCCTACGATTGGAGTGCCCCGCCATTGGAAAGCAATTCGCCCCCGAGGAAATCTCTGCTCAGGTATAACATCAATGAATTCCCATTTTACATTTTTTTTAAAAAAAAACTTTCTTGTCCAATTTTACTTGAAATCTTGTTTTCTTTATAAACATAGACATGAAGAAGATTTGTTGCATCTTGGGACACAGTGTCTACTTAAACCCTTATTTCTCAAATTGTGATGTGAAAACATATTTCTAGAGTGATGTCCTTTTGATCTTTCATCTTGTTTTCCTAAAAGGGTTGTCATTGTCTTGATCACAGGTTTTGAGGAAACTTGTTGATGATGCGTCAAAGTTTTTAAGTGATAAGGTCACTAAAGCAGTCATTACAGTGCCAGCATACTTCAATGACTCTCAGAGAACTGCAACAAAAGATGCTGGCCGAATTGCTGGGGTAGAAGTTTTGCGTATCATCAACGAGCCTACTGCTGCTTCATTAGCATATGGATTCGAAAAGAAAAACAATGAAACTATTCTCGTTTTCGATCTTGGTGGTGGTACCTTTGACGTTTCAGGTATAGACTTTTATTTTCTGTGAAGCATCTCTTATTAGTAGCACTTGAAAGATCATTTTGTGTTCAGATACTGTGTATTGCCTCTTCTTTAAGTCCTCCATTACCCGTGAAAAGAAAATATAACAAGAAAAGAAAAGAGGGGAAGAGGGGGGGGGGGGGGATATTTTCTTTGATGTCTGGAATTTTATTACGGAGGGTTCTATTACTGAACTTCCAAAGCATACAAGCTTTCACTCATTTACTACATATTGCCTTTTTAAATGTGATTTATTATGTGCAGTTCTTGAGGTTGGTGATGGAGTATTTGAGGTGCTTTCTACCTCAGGCGATACACATTTAGGTGGAGATGACTTTGACAAGGTAAACCGGACTTGAACCGGCGTTCAGTGTGTCTTTCATTGTTCATGTTATTTTGGGTTTTTGCTCGGCCAAGTTGGTGAATATTGGTTTATGCCTGGTGTTCCACCAACAGAGGATTGTGGATTGGCTAGCTGATGACTTCAATAAACAAGAAGGAATAGATCTTCTGAGAGATAAACAAGCATTGCAACGCCTCACCGAAACTGCCGAGAAGGCGAAGATAGAACTGTCTTTACTGACTCAAACAAATATCAGGCACATTATTCTTCCCACCTTCCCAAGAAACACAGTCACATTAACGACAATGAAATTTCTCTTCATTTCTAATTGTCAGGCGGTTATTGATACCACACTTACACGGGCCAAGTTTGAAGAATTATGTTCAGATTTATTAGATAGGTAAGCAGTTCTTTTTATCCAAACTAGTATTTAACCCGTGCCACGCACGGGGTCTAACGCATGTTAGTTTTAACTCTGCTAATTTTTTGTTTTAAGTAAATAATTATAAAATAAAGTTAAATATAATACAGAATGTTAGATATGACATAAACAAAATTGTGAAATAATTTTTGCATGTGATAAATTCAAAATAATGGTGCAATGGTTTGTGCAAATTAGACTATGAGCGAGTATGCACAGAGTATTAATACGATTTAAACATACGGACTAAAAGTCTAATTTGATTAGTTGTGTTCTAAATCTATTAAATTGTAATCTATGTTTTTCTTATCTAGGATTGATGTGGTTTGAACTATTATCATTCTAGTAAAGGTTAAAATTGTTTATGATATGATTCTAATAAGAATAAAGAGAACAAGTTCTAAGATACAAAGTGTTATTTAATGACGTGTATTTAGTGTTGGATAGTCATTGTAAAGTAATCGGGAAATAAACACAACTCTTTCAATATCAATAAAATAAGATTGGATAATGGGCACATTCTTGATGATCATGCTTTTATGTTAAATTACTCTGGGTATGTAATTGTTTTTTTCAATTATATTTTATGTAAAAATATTTTTAATCATTAATTTGGTTATTTATGTCAAAGTTTGATAACTTTTTTTCTTTAAAAGCAATGTCAAAAACTACACAATAGCCCCTTATGTGACATTTTTAAAACATAAATGTACAAATATTTTATGTTTATGTTAGTAATATATACTTTAAAAATTTTGTCATAAATAAATATTTGTTAGTTGTTAGAATCTTTACCTGTAAAGAGATAATAGTTGATAATAGTTGTTAATGTTATAAAAAAATTACCAAACTATTCTATTATTAGGAAATTATATCTGAAAATTTATTCCGCTAGAGTGATCTTATTAAAGGGCATTATAAATAAATTTTGACATCGAAGATTTTTACAAAAACATTAAAACATGTCACCTAATATTAATTGTCACGCGACAATTTACCTCTCATAAATCAATATCACGCAGACATTTTACATATCATGCTTTTAGAAACTTGAGTCTCAAATCATACCAAGACTCTATTAATATCAATATTAGTTTTAATTCCGTGCTTTGTACGATCTTGAATACTTTTATATAAAATATATTAAAAGACTATTATGATCCAGAAGAAATTCAAAATGTAAAGACTACTAACCTGAATAGGTACTTATAGCAATCTTATGGCTTTAAAAAGAGTTCACAAATAAATTTGGAAAAAGACACTGGAAAACAAAATTTAAATCAGTTTTCTACACATTCAACTCTCAAATTTTATATTAAAAGACTATTATGATCCAGAAGAAATTCAAAATGTAAAGACTACTAACCTGAATAGGTACTTATAGCAATCTCATGGCTTTAAAAAGAGTTCACAAATAAATTTGGAAAAAGACACTGGAAAACAAAATTTAAATCTTTATGAATGAAGAAGCACTGGCAAAAGAGAATATTTCTTTAATTTAATTACTATTTTGGTTTCATTGATGCTTTGGACTTGCTTCTCCAAGAGTTCTATCTTCTTTTCCAGAAAAAATTGAAGACAACACCTAGATTATATTTTCTGCAGCCAAAGAATCCAAAGACATTCATTAAACTTAATTGCTAGAACATGAACCAAAATTGACGTTACAACAGATGCCACAGAGAGAACAAATTTTACACCAATATTGAAATAAGTTGAATTGAAAACAACTCTAATTAGAAATTATTATTCTAAACATGAAGATTAAATAGGGATAGAGAGAGTATTTTTGTACTCATACATATCATGTGTCTTAGAAAATTGAGAATAAACATTAGATAAAACATTGAAAAAATTAAATTATGAATGTATAAATTTAAATTGTAATTTTCCAATTATCAAACTATTATCTGGTAACTTTCTTCCACTAAAGCACACATATATGCCAATTATAAAACACCACCTTTTTTTAAAAAAACACTTACCTGAATTTTTCCAGCTCCACCAAGAAGCGGGACACACTATGCGCACTAATGTTCTTCTCAACTTGTCCATGACTGCAAACTTGACTCGTCGCACCTGCTAATATGAAAAACATTTTAGTACACAGACACAACAGAATGAACATTAAAATAAAGGCAAAGACGGCAAAGGAAGTGATGGATATTGATTGCAAAGGAAAAAAACAGCTACCACTGAATTGTCTTCATTTAATGCACCTTAACAATACCCATAGCAAAAACCAAGCTCTTAAGCTTTCGGTGGCATAATCGCTCAAACCCCGGCCTTCTTAGCAAAACTATCTAGCGATATATATATATATGTATAGGGGAAAAAATAAGAAAGGGGGAGAACACGTGAAACACTTGGAAGGTGAAAAAAAGGTGGCAAAAGAAACACTGAAAAAATTTAGAGGAAACATGTTATAGGTCGTTGCAGCTGAACATTTCATCAGATGTCTCCCATAACCCTTGTGGCAGGGGAACTCTATTATAAAATACGCATTCAATATCTCCCAAAAATTAAAAATTCATAATAATGCAAAATTAAGAACACATCATATTTTAAGACTCCAAAATTAAAGCATGAAGTATGACTTGACATTTAAAATGCAAAAGTAATATCTCTAAAAGTGAAAGTTTAATATCTAACTAATATGAGGTGTATTAAATGGATTAAAATAAATGAACTCACATCTTCCTTTTGTGAAACACCTTTGATTTGTGAAATTAGCTACTCATAATATGAGAGTATCAATATGAAATTGATATGAAAAAATGAAAAAAAGAAGAAGTGGATCTATGAAAAGTACCTGCGAGTTTTTAATCTTCTTTTTCAGCAGCACAGATCAATTCACAGCATCTCACAGCTCGGTTGAGCCATCAAATCCTGTATTGCAAGAGTAGGTTACCAAAGCATTAATGTTTAAGAACGAAAGAAGTGAATAACTAAAACGTAGGCATTCGGTGTTCCACCATACGAAAGTAGATATGTGTTTAGAGGGGATTTTCATTTTTAGTTCAGCTCAGGAAAATGGCATAAGATAATACAATAACAAAAACAAAAACACCAACAACAACCCAATTTAATCTCATCCGAGTGGCATAAGATAATAAAATTGTCAAATTAAAAAAAGCATAATGGTTAGGGATCCTTATATTTATGGGGCTAAAAGTGTATGCTATACACATGTGAATTAAGATCTTCAGCACTCAACCACCCAAATTTTAATAGATAAACAAAGCATAATAGCATTTTTATATGTTCATCATACCATAATCATAAATGTATTAATCAAGGAAATTCCAATGAAAAATGTGGGAAAATGAAGCCAAGCAACACCTATTCACACCCAAAGTTGCAACTGTAAATAATATAGAAAAAGAACTATCCATATATAGAAGATGAAATTTTTTTAAAAGAAAACATACAATCTCCAATTTCACTTGATGTTCACTCGGATTCAGTCATTTGCATCTCAACCTCATTGAAAAAAACAATAACCCAAGTAAACTCAGAGGAATTAAACAAAACTCAATACTATAAAAAACACATGAAGCATATATTAATGTGCATTTCATAGATACTTGCATACCCGAAAGTGACGTATTCAGAGAGAAAGAGCAGATAGTGAACCCTACCAAGAGGATTCAATTGGGAGAGAGCATCTGCATCATAGACAGACATGAACTCATTAGTATTCCCTTGGAGTTAAAGAAGCGGCTAAGGCCTAGGGGATGAAGAAGCGCATAAGAAGTGCATAACACATGACCTAATCCGTACTCATCAAACTCAACTCAAATTGAGTGCGGACCTTTTACTGCCCGTTCAAATCGGATACAATTATCATTCAATTAAATTCAAATCAAAATCAAATTGAGTAATTCAATTCATGCAAAATTCAACTCAAATTGAATTACGGAATCATTCAAAATCAAAATCAATTTTTTTAAATAGTATAAAATTCAAAATCTCAATGCAAAAGTGCAGACCCTTAAGCGTTGAAATGCCTGTGGTAGAGCCTTTAATGTTCAATTTCATTGCTCAAATCATTGAGAAGTCGCCGAAGAAGTGAAAAAAAACCTGATTTTGGCGAAGAAGAGGACTGCAGGAGTGTGTGAAGATCCACCGAAGAAGTGAAAAAAAAAAACTTAGAAAAGACGCGTGTAAACATTACGTGTCAAAAAATTGAGCCTTAAAAAGTGCCACATGTCACTTTTCTACGTATTCATTTCTCAAATCTTTTATTAAAGGATAAAAGATTAGGCACTTTCTATAGTTGAATGTCATTTTAGGTGAAGATGAACTTAAGATAATTAAATACTACGTATTTATATTAAGTTGAAATATGTAAGAAAAAGGTGAATTCTTCTGACCCGCCTTTTCCGCTCCACTCGCCAAAATCTATGGAAGGATTTTACAAGGGATATGCTAGGGGTACACCAAAGGTGTACCCCAAATGTACACCACCTCACCTCTTTACCATTCATTTTATTTTATTTTTATTTTTACTTTTTTTTGAATTTTTCTTGCCTTTTTTGTGCGGTGATGGAGGGGGTGGGGGATGTTTGGGGTACACTTGTGGTGTACCCCTAGCATTTTCCATTTTACAATCTTCCTCCTCCACTGTTAATTAAAATTGTTCCCTGACCCACAACAATACATCATACGGAGTAATCTTCTTTAATTGAAAAAAAAAAGTATATATAAGCATATGAATACCAATTTTTGTCAAGATCATTAATCTTTTGTTGCTTCCAATGTATAAATCTTTCATTTTTTAAAAGAGAGTAAACAAAAACCCAAATGAACTATAACTCTTTATCTGTTAAAACGATGAATTGAATAAAAAACATTTGAAAGTTTTGTAAGGCTAAATTCATTACTTGTGGAAAAGAAAAAGTTGGATGTCAAATAGAAGAGAAAATAACTCAACTAAAAGTTTTAAGGAAAATGGTGAATGGATGAGGGAGAATGTACCCAAACCACTATTAGCGTGTTTATAACCTCCTCTTTCTCTCTAGTTCTTGAATAGATTTCTACATGAAAAGAACACATTTGCAATTAGGCAACAAAAAATGAAGAAGATTAATAAAATATTGAAAGATTATTTTTCTTAAAAAATTGATAACAAGATCTAAAATGCACTGTGCCGTAGCTAATGTCTACTAATGCCAAACCTAGAGTTCTAAATTCCAAAAATTAAATCTCATTGAAAATATAAAGATACAAAAACATAGAAGTGACAGTACGTGGCTTAAAAAATTGAATTCATCCAAAAACTAATCTTGTTTCTTGAGGGCACATTGTTTCGGCCAAAAACATAGATTGTTACTCTAATCAATCCCAACCATGAATCTAAATCATGGTAACTTTGAGAGTAAATCAAGCCATAAATAAAACAGAGATTTTTGAACCCACGGAATGACCCCATATCGAATTTCCGGATTTTACTCCAAAATATATAAATACCCAAAAAAATTAAGGAAAAAAATACCTAATTTGAAGTCTTTCCTTGTTCAAGATGGAGATCTCAGTTCTTAATTACATCTGAAAACTTAAACTGCTGCACTTATGATTTGCACAAACAATGAGTCTCAGTTTCCCCTCAACGAAATTTCATGTTATCTTCAGGTAGATAGAATGGTTCAGGAAGCAGAGAAGTTTGCTAGAGAGGACAAGGAGAGGAGGGACGTCGTTGACACAAAGAATCAGGCAGAATCTGTCGTCTACCAGACTGAAAAACAATTGAAGGAGTTGGGAGAGAAGGTCCCTACGGACGTCAAAGATAAGGTGGAGTCTAAGGTGAAAGAGCTGAAAGATGCCATTTCTAGCGGTTCGACCCAAACCATTAAGGATGCCATGGCGGCACTGAACCAAGAAGTGATGCAACTCGGGCAAGCTCTCTACAGCCAGCCAGGTTCAGGCGGACCTACGCCTACACCTACTCCTGATGGCACAACAGAAAAATCAGGTTCGTCATCATCAGGTAAAGTTGATGGAGAAGGAGAAGTTATTGATGCTGATTTTCGTGAAAGCAACTGAAAGGCCCGCCGGGCTCCTCTGTAAATTAGTGCCTGCAAATGTGCATTGTTAGTTATCTAGCTCCCATTTAGATTATTTTCCTGTTTGGGAAATTAAGAGTTGAGTGGGAACGTACCTTTCCCGATGTAAGATTTTCATCCCCTAGATATTGGGTGTGAAGATAAACTAGTAGATAGACGGGAAATGGTGGCAAGCGGAGGGCTAATATTTGATTATCCATCTGTTAAGTTGAAGTAATAATACATGCAATATGTGTTCGAGCTATTCATTTTAGTTTCAGGTGAATAAAAGTGAACTCAGGATTGGCACATTAGACTTGCACAGAAAAGTAAACAAGAATGACTCATTCAATCTAAAATAGTCATATGATGCTAATTATTGAACACTAATTGTTGAATGATTGGATAACTTGTTTTTAAAATTGATGAGTTAAGGGCAACAACATGTTGGTAACTGATTAAGAAATGTGACCATATATCACGAACCTATCTTTTTCCATGAGCCAAGACAAGATTTCCCTTCACGACCTTCCACTGTCCAGCTCCGAACTTCACCTCGCCTGTTCGTCCAACTGCCTACAGAAATCAAAACTTTCTTCAAGAAATGAGGTATGAGGGTGCTCCTTATATACTAATATAAAGAAGAAGAAGACACAGACTTTGCTACTTCCGTGATTTTTTGGTGATTGTAATCAACGTGATTGCTCTAAAGGGCATCGTTTGTTGTATAGCTCCCTGAATGGGACTAATTTGGTCCCAGTCGGGATACACTTTTTGGTCCAACTTTCTCTGAATTGAAATCTAATTGAATCGTTGAGATCAGATAATCAAACTCAACACAACAATATAATTTTTATTATTTATTGACAAACTTTTATAAATAACTTATTTTTAGGTCCTTCTCAATAATTAATTAATTAATTAATTCTGATAGGCCTATTTTCGGGGCGTCACACCTTTGTCTGTTCCTGCCCCCACTACCTCTACTATTCCTTCTGCCTCTGCCAACATGTAACAATTCACCCGATGACTCTCCTGAACTCGTTCTTTTGACGACCTTGCCAAGAACGAGATCACGAATCTGATTGAAAGTGAATCCATTGGACGCTACTAAACCGGTAATCGCTGTAATCGTTCTGTTAAGATCACCGAACTGACGATAGCAGTAGCAAAGCTTGAACTTCATCACCAAACTTAATCTTCACTGACGCAAGTTAGGTTAAGATCGAATTCATCTTATTGATATGCTCGGTAACTGAAGTACCTTCTTTCATCCATGTATTCACCCCTCTCTAAATGCAACATTCTTGATTAACGAAAGACGGATCACGGACATAGGTTTCTGATCCAAACCTTCCCAACCTGCATCTGACATTTTTTCTGGCTTATTTCCCAAAACCACGTCCAAATCTTTCTAAACCTAAGAAATCTTCAATTTACATCTTCCACCAACTAAAATATGTACCATGAATTTCTCAATTCGGAACTTTCCGTCTTCTGCCATCTCAGACGACTAGACGAGATACCTGGTACAGCTAATTTCGGATCTAGGTATTTTCTTTAGAAAATCGGGTCCACCACACCAATTAAATTAGTCAAAAAAATCATCCTAAAATCCACCCACAAAAAAATCACGGCCCAAATCAATTTAATTAGGAAAGAACAAACCACACCCTTTCCCCCCTTTTTATGTTCATGTTCTTTGCAAACCATTGGCTCTCACGATTTGAAGTTGTGACATGTAAAAAAGGCCAACTAGATCATCTACTTGTCATGCTCTCAAGAGACGAGTCTGAATGAATCTAATAAAAGGTTTGTGTTCATAATTTGATATAATAAAATAATTATGTTACTTCTTATTTCAAAGAACTTTACATGTAATTTAACTTATTTTATAAAATTTTTTATATATAATTTATTGGTTTTTTAAATACATGATATTTTATTTTTGATTTTACACTACTATTTAAATAATTAATTGAATTAAAAATAATTTCAATCAGATATCGTAAACCATAAACCAAAATTAATTTAAGGGCCATTGTGTATTAATGGGACACGCCGCCTGACTGTCATGTTTTCTGGAAAATTTTCGACGCATCGCACCACCTTGTAGATTTCTAGCTCTGGTCACTCCTCATACCATGGTATCTTTTGTCCACCTCATCTCATACAAAAGTGACCAAAAATCATATAGGCAAAGGTTCTCCACATCATCATCTTCTTCTTCTTCTTCATTTTTCGTACACCACATCTCCTCCCTAGCCAACAAGGTAATTTTCTCTTCTCAACAAATATTGACCCCCAGTAACTCCTTTCATCCACCAAAACTTGTACCACCACAAACAACTGGGACACGCCGCCCGACCTCCACCTATAAATACATTACTTGTATTCATGTCTTATTCATTTAGCAATATATCATAATTATTTTATTTTACATGGTATCAGAGCTTTCGCTCTTGGTGACTTAATACTTTCCGCTTCCACCCTGATGGTGTAAATTATCGACCGGTATACCGTTTTTAGCCCGGCTAAAACGATAAACTAGTCTAAAAATACACCAAAATATAAACACGGAGATTTTGACGTGGAAACCCAAATCGGGAGAAAACCACGGGCCTTTTTTGGAGGTACCTTGCCAACGGGGGATTTTTATTAATATCGGGGGTGTGTACACAGTACAAGAGTTCGGCTCGGAAGCCATTAATGGTGGAGCTAGAAGCTCTTGAAGAAGGAAAAATATACTCTAAAAATACCTAGAGAGAGAAAGTAGCAGGAGAGGAGTGAAATTGGCCTCCCCTAACATTGAGGGGGAGCCCTCCTTTTATAGGAGAGAGTCGGAGCATCTACGGAGGAATATTCTCTTATTCCTCTATTTTATTAAACAGGCCTGGTTTGACTGTTCTTCGTAAATAATTGGGAAATGTGGGCCGAGCCACGTATTATTTCCCATCAATAAGTCCTCCACTTTTTTAAGTTGTGAGAATCATCAACTTAAAAAAGTAAACAAGTCCTCCGAGTGCTATCTTCAGTCTTCGTACTTTGAATTCTTGACCGGTTGATATTATCGCTAGTCCTCCGAGTCTTCATTAATTTTCCAATTTCTTGAGTCAGAAGGTCTTCCTGCAAAAATAATATGTACAACATTTTTTTTGACCGACCTATGCCGTGCTCAAAAAATTATTATCTTTACCGAGGAGCTCGGTGTTAGGGTGGTTAAAATTCGCGTGAATAATTATCGTAACAAGAGCGATGTCAGTTCGATAAAGCAACGATGCTTCGAGTAGTTATACGACACCGGAGTTAGTACGATGAAGTGGCGGTGCTTCAAGTAGTTATTTCGTCGAGACCGATATTAGTACGGATTAAGTAAACGATACATAGCGAAATTAGTATATCGAAGTAATCGATGTTACTTAATACGAATTAAGTATGTTGCAGCAACTTTGTCGAAGATCGATGTTAGCCCGGCTAACGGATGCAAATATCTTCATGTCATGTAGAGACCACTTCCAGAGTGCATTGTTCAAAGGGCCTGAAGAATCGGGTGTCCCCGATAAGGGCTCAGCTGAGCCACCGGTGTACCCAATTCGATTGGGGTCAGACTTACGAGAAAATATGTGCAAGACCGGTGTGTATATCATTCTTGGCCTGTCTCGCACACAAGAATGATATTTACCAGCGTGCCAGGCCGGGCCTGTGTCACATATTTTAATATTTTTTATTATACTGAGCAAGACCGGTGTAGTAACCAGCGTGCCAGGCCGGGCCTGTGTCTCAGTCTTCCTCTTTTTTTTAATACTGAGCAAGACCGGAGTTGTAACCAGCGTACCAAGCTCGGCTTGTGTCTCAGTCTTCCTTCCTTTCTTTGCAAAGTATTGAGCAAGACCGGTGTAGTAACCAGTGTGCTAGACCCGAGTGCCTTCCATCTACAATTGGCCCAAGAACCGCAACCACTTTTTCTAATGTGAGGAGCATTGTTTTTTTTTTGAAATGGCAGTAATGCCCTGGGTACCGTATCTTCATCTCAATCACTTGGGATTTTATTTTGAATCCCTTGAAATATATCATGGGTGGGCCACCTGCCCACCTCTCACATGGGATGCCCCACTCCTTTTCATGATTCATGGCTCCAAGTGCATGTATTGGCAGGAAATGTCCTCCAATCTTCACTTTATTTCACCTCCCACTTTATCAAAAAGGGTGAAGAATTTACCACATGCAACTCTCTCCCTTGTCTCGTTCTTTTGGATGTGAGATTGAATGAGCTGGAGTTCAATTATCCAAGGGAGGCAACAACTGTAGACATTAGCGCCAGAGATGGAATTTTACAGCGGCGATGGGGGATGGATCTCGGCAACTTAGCAGTGGTGACGGTAGGTTGAGATTTGACCAAGGCGGACATCACTAGCGGCGACGTCAGATTTTATTGGAACATTTCCTCTAATGGTGGATGGCGTGCTTGAAGTGTGAATTCGAGCTGAGAGAATTGAGAAGAAGGTGCTTCCATGGTGGTGCTGCCACTGAGGTGCCGCCCATCTCTGAACACCTTTCGTGCGCTTTGTCCCCTTGCTCTTGCCCCTTGGTGGAAAAATTTAGCTAACTGTTTCTTTATGGCAGCGGTGGTCTTCTCCTGCGAGGTCATCAATTTGGGCATTGATGGCGTCGTCGTCACTAGTTTTTCTCCAACAGCGATGGAGGCAAAATCTGGCGGCAATGGATTCAAAGTCAAACCTGCGAGTCTGAGCCACGAAGGCGGCAGACTACACGTTGTACCTAGGGCGGCGGACACGGAGGCCAGAGATGGCAACGACTGAAAGGACAGTGGAGTGACACGGAGGCCAGAGATGGCAACACGCTGTACCTTGACGCCGCCTTCGCCTCCTCCTCCGTGTAGGGGTTATGGTCGTCCGACTTGTTGTTGAAGTACTTGTTGATGTCGGAGGAGACGGAGTCAGATCCGCTGCGCAATTCCTCACCAGCCCAACAAACATCTTCCTCTCGCTAGGAAAGATGGTGTCAGTGCTGGCTGTTGGCTTCAACGGCGAGCCAGCGATTTTGAACGAAACCCCTCAATTGTGACGACAAGTTCTTCCTCTCGCCAGGAACGATGGTGGTGGGGATGAAGCAAAGATCGAGTTCATCGGTGGTGACGACGATTTTGGTGATCTTGTGATGGCTGGCCCAATTTGTGGAGGCCCGTAATCTAACAAGGTCGTGTACTTGCCGGCGGCTCCTCTTTGTCCTTTTGGATTTCCGAAAAAAGAGATTGATATATAAGATCTCTCTTCTTTTTTTTTTGAGCAACACCTCCCTCTCCTCTTATCCTCTGGGTAAACAAAATGAAGAAACTAAACAATGGACTTTTCGCTTAGGTCCCACGGGTGGCGCCAAAATGATGGTGTAAATTATCGACCGGTATACCGTTTTTAGCTCGGCTAAAACGATAAACTAGTCTAAAAATACACCAAAATATAAACACGGAGATTTTGACGTGGAAACCCAAATCGGGAGAAAACCACAGGCCTTTTTTGGCGGTACCTTGCCAACGGGGGATTTTTATTAATATCGGGAGTGTATACACAGTACAAGAGTTCGGCTCGGAAGCCATTAATGGTGGAGCTAGAAGCTCTTGAAGAAGGAAAAATATACTCTAAATATGGTGGTTTATTCGGCGATGGTAGCCTCAATCCCACTTGTTCATCCAATAAGCATCCACCATGCTCCTCTGTCCATCTCTAGAGCTACCACCGCTGCTTCTTGATTTTAGATCATATCGTCACCTCAGCCTGCTTAGTCGGCAGATCTTCGGTCAACATGAATTTCCGGCAGCACCTCACCTCATTCCTTCTGCTTCAATTCTTTTGCTTCAATTATTTTGCACAAGTCAACCTTTTCCCTTCTTCGACGTTAGCAGCATGAGTATGTCTGCAGTGGATCTTCTCTCATCTTCCTCAGTGCTGACACATCTCTTTCCCAGCAATCTTTCTTCTTCTCTTCTGGTGAAGATTTTGATCGTGATTCGATTTTGCTCAACCCAAAGATATGTATCTAGCTTGTGATGAAGATTTTGATCGTGATTCGATTTAAAGTTGGCGTTCATTCTTCAACGTTTAGGTCGTTTGAGGCATGTTAAACATATTAATTATTTAATATATTTAATATGATACATTATATGATAATTATGGTTGTTATATATTATATTATAGTTGGAGTTATTATCATATAATATATATTACCTTATATTATTAGTCATTAATGTGGAGAATTCTAAAATATATTCTTCCAGCTATAAATACATGACTTACATTCATCTCTTATTCAATCATTAATATATCATAAATATATTTTATTTTACACATATGAATCTAGGTGAACAAAGGGATCTACGTGAACCTCGCTCCAAAACAATATGACCCAATCAACTAGAAATTAAACCTATCATACCTCCACCCAACCAACTCTCACCTACATTGCACCCACTCTTGTCCCTTCCTCGCGCCCCACCTTGCATAAATCCAATTCCACCACCCTTAACCCACGGCCCAGGCGCTTGCTCCCGCTCCATTCGGTTAACCAATTTTTGATCTAGAAACACGAATATTCGCTTAGTAGCTACCAAGCCGAGTATCATAAAAGTGGATCCTGCAAAGCATCACACTTCAAATCACACAACATATAATAACCATCCGAACAACATATCACAAAAACCAAAATTATCGGGGTACATCAAATATTTGAAGAGAAATTTACCTAAATAGGACTAAAACATAATGACTTTCCCAATATAGAACCATATGTTTTTATTTCCCAATGTAGGACTTTTGGTCATTATCAAGTAGTCATTATTCAACTAAATGTCCATCATTACTAGACATTATTCCTTTTACTAGGTCATTATTAAGTCCTATTTAAGGAATAAAAAAGTTTAAGTCCTACATTAGGAAAATCATTATGTTTTAGTCCTATTTAGTGCAAATTTCACATATTTGAAACCAAGTATGTGCACAAATTTAAAATGTCTAAGAGCATATATATAAACTTTTATGTCGATTATTTTGTCTCTAGCACCACTTTCACAAAAATCAAGATTATAAATTAGAGACTAAGAACTTTGACATACTCCCCGTTCCTAAAGAATTTACAATACTTGAACAAATGTAAAAGTACTGTCCGTATTGTTTAAATTTAATTTATTTACAAATTGGTATAAAAATAAAAAAAATTTACATACTTAAAAAATTATGTCAAAAAACCTAAAAAATAAGATGTGACAATGATTTTTATTTTATGATAAGAACACACAAACAAATAAAAATTATCTAGAGTTAAAAATAATACTCCCTCCGTCCCAAAAAGTCAGTTACGTTTTGAAAAATTTGCGTCCCTTAAAGTCCTTTACATTTCTATTACTTTTACCCCTTACTTTTTCATACCCTACCTATCACAGCATACCTTTTTTCTAATAATCTACCCATCACATCAAATGTATTTTTGGAAAGTCAACACCAAAATATCCCTTCTTATTTTACCACTTTAGTCAACCAATCTTTCTGAGACGGATGGAGTAATAGTGTAATTCATTATAATGGGATATTAGGAGATGCACAAGCATGGAATCGATGCATTGAATTTAAAAATCAAACACTGTAACATACGGAGTAATCAACATGTTCGAAGAATCATACGAGTACACGACCTAGACCAGAGATATCCCGTAGACACTGTGATATTCTAGAAGAGTGCATTGACTGCATTCTATGTTTATCGTGCATATTTCAAGGATATACAAAGTCTTCACTTGCGGTAAAAAAAAAGAAAAGAAGTCTCCATTTCAATACATATCATGCATCACTTTTTGTAGTCTATATTAGCGAGTAATTACTCTCCCCCAAAATATTTATTCAGTTTTAGTTTTTTTACAATTAATCAGTATTAACATTTGACCTATAATAACTTTTGAGTTAAGTGCACAGTTTACCCCCGTATTCTTTAGAAATTGCATGTTTTACCTCTGAACTTTAAAAAGTGCATCGATTATCCTTGAACTCTTCGAAAATTGCACGATTTACCCCTGCAGACTAAAAATGCACCAAATACCCTTGAACAAATTAAAACGTTGCATCGTTGGTCGTAAACTATTAGATAGAGAGGGCGTTGCTTCCACGCACAAGAATTGTGAATATCATTCATCTGACCCTTGTGAATTTTTCAAAATATCTTTACCCAAAATTGTCATCTTTATTTAAATGTTCAGGAGTAAACCTTACAATTTTCGAAGAGTTCAGGGGTATTTGGTGCAATTTTTATTGTTCAGGAGTAAACCGTGCAATTTCTGAAGAATTCAGGGGTATTTGGTGCACTTTTTAATGTTCGGGGGTAAACCATGCAATTTTCAAAGAATTCGGGGGTAAACGGTGCACTTAACTCAATAACTTTTATATAGTATATTAATTAAATAAAACAATATCTTGACAATTTTTTATGAGATAAATCTAATAAAATTATTTTTATATCAAAATTATATATATATTGTTTTTATTAATTTATATACTATATAAATTTTACTTAATTATAGATTAAAGGTTAATCTTGGGTTGGCAAGTGACGGAGGACGATGGGGTGGGTGGTGTGAGGCATAGATAGGCGGGAGTGCGTGTTGACGGGAGCTAATAGGGTAGGAGGGGGTGAGGAGGTAGCGGTGGCGCGGTGGGGATTAATAGAGGTTGCAGGGTAGGAGGAGGGCAGGCGGGTGGTAGAGCTTGGGGTGGTGGGGAGAGGCGAATTAGGCGAGCGGGAATGGGCAAGCAGGCAAGGAGCAAATAGAAATTTTCCTTCGAAAATAAATGGAAAATATATTCCCTTAGAGGAGAAAATATTTTCCTACCACTTGTGTTACCAAATAGGGAAAAATAGAATCAAAATTTCCCCAGTGAAATATTTCCCCCCAAACCAAACACACCCTAAGTTATCAAAACAGTTCACCTCATTTTCCAAACTTAGAGACACCTCATCTGTCGTGTGTTTGGCCGGAAAACACATGGCCAAACAATTTTCAATTCTTGCATAGCAAAAAATCAGCATAGTTCACTCTAAAAAAAATAAACCATAACCGAGCACAGCTTCAAGAGATCCAATAGTAGTGTGCTCTACTAGATTCAGATTGAATAAGTGGGGAGGATAAAATAACTAAATAATTTGAATTTAAATAAGAGGTGAAATGAAATAACACCACCAGAATGTTAAGAGTGGCAACAACTAACATTTACACAGCATATACAAGTCCTGGAATAGCTTTTAGAAAGACAACTGTGGCATTTGAAGACTTCCTCATCAAGTGGAGTGCATTCCAAGTTTCCAACAGCTTCATAAACAATATGTCCATAGGGAACCTATATGAAAAAAAAGAAACAAGAATAAAACTGATTTCATGAAAAAGATGCACTCTTATGAGATTTGAATTAAGAAACTTATTTCCATATATATCTCACTATGGATACTCCCAAGAAAAAAGTGACTAACAACTTAGGCGTTGTTTGTTTCAGCCTCTTAATGGTTCAGATGTCTGAATGGTTCAGCACTTAATGGTTCAGACTATTTGTTTCAGCCTCTTAATGGTTCGGATGTCTGAATGGTTAAGAGATTTGCCTCTGAATGGTTAAGTATTATACAGAGTCTGAATGGTTAAGACCTCTTATCTGAATTGATCAGACATTTGCCTCTGAATAGTTAAGCAATATACTAGCTCTTAATGGTTCAGACCTCTTACTGGTTCAGCACTTAATGGTTCAGACCTCTTATTGGTTCATCACTTACATATTCAGAAGTTGCCAAACAGTCCCTTAGAATCACATAGAATAAACGTTTACCTCTGCTTGCTGCCTGAGATAAACCCTGACGCTTTTAAGAACCTTCGATCTCCATTTTTAGGGAGCTTTGGGTTAAGAGAATACACAACCCTCCCACAACGGCACGACACGGGTATCATATTTTCTTTTGGAGCAATAGGAAAGGGATATGAAGTCCAAAATTCAAAAACATATATTCATTACAAACTTGACATGTAAATCTAACTTAGGGAGTAGAAAATTTCATTTTACCAAGTCAAAATCTCCATTTCCACTTTCCAGATTGCTTGGTTTCAGAAGAACTACCTACGACGTTGCATTTGCCCAAGACTGTAATAAGCATAGAATGATCTAAATTCTAAATGACCAAATCTGGATTGAGGAAAATTTGCGTACACAATTCTCCACAAACACAATATAGGATAACAGAACTTCAACTGAATAGTTGGAATAGTTCCTAACTTGTATCTTCGGCTGCTACTTAATTCTGCATGAAATTAGAACTCTTTGAAGGTCAGAGGATGCAAAGATGGAGAAGTGGAAAACCTTGTCTGACTCAATGAAAGGACAGTGTGGATGACCAAGTTTGATATAACTGAATGGTGTAGTAAAAATACAGCAGTCAGACAACTCACGACATTGATGAAGTCTAAAATATTGAAGGCACATCTCTTAATACCTAGAGCACCATAATTCCTAGCAAATGAATTCTTCTTTGCAAATGGTACCTAACCACCCCCCATTTAAAATTGCTATTGCGGAGTATTATTCATAACGGAGTACTATTTATCTATCCATAGACATATACACATGTGTAAGTGTGTTATGAGTGGATTGAGACAATGAAAGTTTCATTGTTGGCTTGTTGCTGATTATATCCACATAACAGCTGAATCTTTTGTCCTAAATTTTGCAAATCAACTCAAAACTGGGATTATGAGATAGAAACAGAATCATGTTCATGATTGTTACAACTCAACTTTTATCCAAAACCTGTGAGACTGTGAGATAGACAGATATTCATCTAATGTTTGTCAGTGCTTAGATGACATAGTAATACAAACCCTCGATCTAATGATTAAATACTGCAAACCCTTTCCTTCCATTCCTCATGAATAAACATGTCTTTTTTCCCAAATCCCACAATAGTACACAATGTGAAGAAAACATATGAAAGTATGAAACCACTTGATCTAAATCAAATGTAAATGGTATTCAGGAGTAATATAATTTGCAAATCCAAGAGCTTTTTGGAGACATTGATGTGATAGTCACGTGGTGAGATCGCTGCCTCTAGTCCCAAAACAATCACTCTAACAAACAATCTCTTGAATTTGACAATCTATGTTCTGAACCAATGTGAGATTAACAGCAAATCAAAAACTTGTGCTTTTGATTCAAAGAGCCTTCCCAACCATATCAAAACTGTCATGAAAATATGAGGGCAAGAATTTGTAACGTACAATTACAAAGGATTTATTGTTCTGCATACTAGTTTGTCCAGAGGGGAGACGAAGCAGAAACTCACAACGTTCACAAGTGTTTGGAACAGTGATGTCCTAAATGTGGAACGAACATATCTTGTCTCGTAGAGTACCACATATATCTTTAACAAGGGCACCTAACCCCTTGTCGTTTACATACAAGATTTTGTTCATGGGAAAGCAGGTGTGGTACACTGGAACTATGTGAAATCGAGTCACTTACGGATTGATTTGACTTCACAGGAATCAATTAAGAAAATTCCCTTCATTCCTACTACCAACAATAGTACGGGGAGCCGATTATGAATAGGAAAATTTCAAATCACAGTTTGGACATCATATACTCCGAAAGTGCATATGATGCCGTTCAGATTCAACATAAATTCATTCATAAACTAGGAGCATTTAATAAATCCAGGGAAGCAATCAAAAAATTACATGACATCCAATCAGCATTTCCAATCTATCCTTATAATTTCTACAACAGGAATTTAAACCTTATCAAGTAGGAACAAACTCAATTTCTCAGCCATACCAAAAAATTTGTTACACTTACAAGTTCAATCAATCGACGATCTCAGCAGCGACCGCATTCTTCATGATCGTGATTGTGAAAATAGCCTTGCGGCAAAACTTTCTTTTCCTCATCGTCATCGCTAAAATCATCATCAAATGCCTTCTCCTTGTGGAAAATGCAACATTTCTTAGAGCTTTTCCTGTTGAGGAACTCGTTGTCCACCGTGCCTTCCTTCCACGTAACCTTCTTTTTCTTCGGCTTCAATTTAAGCACTAGGGTTTCGTTCCGCGGCCGATGGAGTGAGGACGTAGATGAAGCGTCGCCGGCCTTCGAGTATCCGTCATCGATGGTGATGGTTAGGGTCCCTGTTGCGGTGGCGGACGGTTGGATTGGCCTCATTGCTGTCGCCATTTTGTATTTTCCCTTCTCTCGGCGGTCTCTAGATCAGCAAATTTCCGTAGAATTGTTAATGCCTTAAAGTGGTTGCGTCCTAATTCAGGTATTCGGTTGTCCGGTGTCTATAGTCCAGTTATATATAAACACGGTTCGGATTACAATCTTATCCCGGTTTGTCCTATTAAATTTGAGATCGGAACAAAACGGGACGGATTCGGGTCGTCCTACTTTGTCCTAATCGCAAATATAAGAAGGGGAAGAGGGTAACATTTCATTAAAAAAAGAGAAACATCTAGCTATCCAACAAAAAACAATGAGTGAAAAGGGACCAAATAAATTTAATAAATTTTGAGCTGAAATACCAAGCTTATGAAGTTAATTAATCAATTCATTAAAGAATGAATGTACTTGGATTTTGGACTAAAATTAGTATTATATATTAGTATAGTAGATGAAACGGGACAAACGGGACGGATCAGTATAAATTTAAGTTGTCCCGCTCATGTCCCATTTAATAGTGGGACGGAACGGGTTCGAGATAAAAAAAAGTGTGTCCCAATTACTCAAAACAATTACAAAACGGATCCGGGATTTTTCGGAATGGTCCAACGGGAACGAATTTCACGCCCACCCCTATGTAGGACTTTTGTTCCCAAACAGATTCCAAATTCTTTCCTTTTTTTTACTTTTTCTATTTTTTTAATACCTACTTAAAAAATGTACTCCTTATTTATGATAAATATATTATGTCCTAAAAAAATTCCAATTTAATTTACTAGTTTTGACTGAAAATATTTTCAATTTAATTTATTTGATTATAAGTGCAAAATTAAAAAATAAAAATTTTATATTCAAAAACTACATCTAAAGTTATACGGAGTACAAAATAAGAGGTGACATGACTATATTATTTTATCAAATAAGTGATGAAAATAGGTCAAAAAATGATTTAAGTTTGACTATGTGAATAGTAACTGGAAATAACCTTTTAGGATGGAGAGAGTAATATCATACATCCAAATTCATAACTGCAATATATATCGTACAATCGTTTGTACGGTGTTTCTCGTACATCCTTAGTTAATACTCATTTATGAGCAACTGAACATTCATTTTTGAGAAACAGAATACTTATTTTTTGAGCCAATGAAGAGTCATTTTTGAATATCTGAATACTCATTTTTCTAAAAATCGGTTATTCTTAAAGATGAGCATTGTGTTACACGAAAATGAGCATTGAGTTACTTGAAAATAAGTATTCAATTACCTGAAAATAGGAATTTGGATGTATGGTATAGATACTCAATTTATAACATACCACCTCAAACGCGGATATAGATAAATTCTTTTTATTATTCAAAATTGATTTTCTTATACATTTATTTAGGTGATTATTTAATTGAATGATTTTTTTAATAGTTTTTTCAGCAGGTGTCGATCCTAGAGGATGCTGAGGCAGAAGAGATGGTGGCATGGGTGTAGGAACAATTTCACCTCCATTATCTTTCTGATGGATACCCAGGAATGGGGGTATCGGACCTGACTGGAACAGCGGCCCAACATGGCCCAATTCAAACCTGGCCTACTCGGCTAGGAAGAATTAAAAGAAAGCAAAGTCTCAGAGGAGCTGCCGCGTCGGGACGTACCCACACTCGACCCCATGAGAACGCGCTCACCTTCGGATCACAGTCAGCCGGCTCCTCGTCGGAAGTCTTTAGAGACCAGATCGCGTGTACTCGGCCTCGGCTGAGATGCTGCTGGACAGGGACCACGGCGTTTGGGAAGTTGCATGACTGGTCAAATCAGGGGACCCGCGATTGGACCCCTGTCACGCCTCCATCAGATTAGTTGTAGCCACCCTATTTGTAACCTATCTTGTATAGCCACCCTAGGGATAATCATTCGGTTGGTGCGATCGGTCGAACGACCAGATCTTTGTGGGCCCGATTCGTTGGATTTTGGACTAACGGTAGGGAAGGCCCGTTTGTAAGCTATATATAAATCCTCTCCCCATTAAAGAGGGGAAATGACACGTTCTCATAGTTATTAATATTTGCAATCTTATTTAATTCCTAACTTGAGTATTTCCAATTCTCGTTCGATACTCTTTCGCCTAGTCTCCTAGACCCCGGGTTCTATAACTCAACACTTTCTTTAAATTAAGTTGAATAATTTTGGGTCCTGAACCCACGTGTGTACTATTTTCAAATTCCTTAAGCTTCTGCAACGTTATTTTATTTTCCTACTCTAAAACAACTTGTGATGTTGACATTTTGAATCATTTGAATTATTATTAATAAAATGTTTTCTTCAAATTATGGATGTTACTTTTCCAATTTGCTAGTGCTTCAGCTCGCTAACTGAAGTGAACTGGAATACGCGGATTGGGGTGTTACATACTACATAATGGATGTTTCCATCCCTTCGACTTGTTGAAAAATGCTACTGATTGGATTTACACTGATTTCCCCTTTTTCAAGTGGTGCAAACTGTCGGTTCCCTTGATAGGTCTCTTTCCGCTTTGGGCAGAATTTACAAGTTGTAGGTGAGCACTTGGACCTACGTCTTCCATCTTTAAACCATCATTGCAGGCACTCATATCTTCCTCGACTTTGGCGATCAGGTCATACGCTTTAGAGAAATTTAAAGTTAGAATGATAGAGATGTGTGGCCTAAGGTCAGGTCGAAGTCTCTTGTGAAACTTCTCGATGCGGTCAGCCACGGTGCCCACCAGTGTAGGTGCAAACTGAGCGAAATGGACAAACTTATGTCAATATTTAGGGAGCGTCATACCTCCTTGCTTGAATTCAACAAATTTGGTGCATTTTTCTTCGCAAAGCCGAGCTAGAATATACTCTTCTTGAATGCCCAATTGAAGAATTCCCAAGTCCAGGGTTTGGGTGTGTTTTGATCTTCATTAGTGTGTTTCCACCATTCATAGGCTTCTTGTGAAGCAGTTGGGATGTAAGTTTTGGATGTTCACCAAGAGGTATGTTCAGGTTTCCCGGCACACGAGCTTGTTGGGAAACGAGGCTTGGATAACGCAATGGAAAACAAAAATTTATAGTCCAAAACTCGATTCCACCCAAGAACAACTTACGTAAATTACTAGCTATAGTAAGAAATTTACCTTAATGGTGAAAATAGAGAACGGAGGAACGGTCGGGGATGGTTTTGAGGAGATGAACGTAGCGCCAAACGTATGAAGCCTCCAACGTATCCACACGAACTTGCTCCGGAGTCCAAGATTAAACTTGTGCTAGCAAGTTTAATATATGATAGTAAAAACTATAATAATACTACTTTGGGAGTAATAAATATATAGTAAAATATTTATCTTATAAATATTTCTTTATAATATTTTGTGTATATTTCTAACACTTTAGAAAAATAACTTTGAACACAAAATATGATTTTTCTTCTCTCTTCCTTGTGATGGCCGAATATTACCACTAAAATGGGGTGGGATTTATTTCATTTTATAATACATTAATTAATGTAAGATGCCATGAAGCTTCCTTGAGACATTAAATTGTGATAATGAATTAATCAAAATGCAATGTCTCTAACCACCATAACAAAACAAAATAGAATCCCTACATCAAATAATAATCAAATATCTCAATTGACATTAAAAATACTTTTTGTAAAAAATCAAATGGTCTTGGATTTTTCCTCTTAAAATTTTCGGTCATCCCATATTTGAAATATATCATATTTTATTTTTGACATCAATAATTATCATATAATTAAAATGATGAAAAATAAAATAATATATATATGTATATACACACATTCGGCGTTACATATATATATAATAAAATTTGTTTTGTCAAAATATAATTATCATATAATTAAAATGACACAAACAAAATATAATTTTAAAATACATATGTATTTTCAAAATACATATATACATAAAATTATCACAACTATATATTTAATATTACTCCCACTAGTGTAGTATACTACTCCCTTACAAGTCCTAAGTGTGTGACCCTTTAGATATCCATAACACTGGCAATGATATTAATAAAATTAATACCATAGATAATAAGCGGTATCTAGCAACACATTATTACCCCCAGATTATGAAAAAGACGTTCATCTCATCAATACCTTCTACGACACAAGACGTTCTATAACTATTATCCTTCTGTCCTAAATGTCATGATTTAACACAAGGCATGGGATGTGTATCCTTGTATGGTTAAATCAGCTGTTACTGAATCTCAAGTAGACTGGCAGGGATCAGATATTTATCAGTCTCTAGATAGCGACATATATCTAGGCATGGCCATGCACTTTCCCAAGTCCTACTATTCAGTGGGCCCATTGACATTATACTTCTATACAGTAGAAGGGACAGATCCTGTATATGTTATTCACATCTCTAAATATGCTTAGCGGCATACCCAACGTATAACTGTACGTCTACCAGTATTTCAGATAGCATTAGTTATGAATCAAAGCATAAGGCCCCACATATCAGAGAATGTAATAACTTCAAGTCTGAGGATAGTTATAGCAAGGTCGATTTGAGAATACTGATAAACACATTACTGTAGATCCATGCAGTATTCTCAAGATGGGTCAATCCAGTCACATATTATCGATATAATATGCACCTACGTACAGATTAAGATATCACAATACCTATAGTCTATGAGACGCAACTATCTCATCTCGTACGTACTAGTCTTGATANACTTCAAGTCTGAGGATAGTTATAGCAAGGTCGATTTGAGAATACTGATAAACACATTACTGTAGATCCATGCAGTATTCTCAAGATGGGTCAATCCAGTCACATATTATCGATATAATATGCACCTACGTACAGATTAAGATATCACAATACCTATAGTCTATGAGACGCAACTATCTCATCTCGTACGTACTAGTCTTGATACGTTATGACGTCCGTATTATCATAAATTGCGACTAGGGATATTCTAGACATAGCCTTCGTCAAGAAGTAACAGTCTCATAATCAGAACATCGTAGTCCTCATCTATGTTACTGAAGTGTTATCGTCTATGGACTGAAGCTATGTTATGTTACACGAGATATAAAACATACTTCAAAGCCTTTCAT